TATCTTTAATAAATTTATAAAAAAAATTATATTTTTAATATACAATTAACCTATAAAATCACTCTTTTGATTTTAAAATAAATTTTCACATGATTTTTTACAAGTCACACTGATAAACCATTTTTCCGATTTATTTACATAGAACCTAACCGGAAGCTCAAAACCCTAATACAAACATTTAGCTCCCTTCACTCTCCCTCTGTGGGCAGCTTCACTCGACATCTGAAATCGGAGGTGCAGAGAAGCAACCCAAGTAAGCTTTCGCCGTCTTCTTCCTCATCCTCCACAAAGGAATCATCTTTACGTTTGTATATCTGGAGAACTATCTGAATTTGTTTAATGTTGTTTTATGCATTAATTCATATGCTTTTTTTGTTGTGGGAACAGAAGAAGAATGGCAGAGAAGGCTGGGAGTGTGACGATAAGAACTAGGAAGTTCATGACCAACAGGCTGCTGTCAAGGAAGCAATTCGTGAGTGTTTTTATTTTCTTGTAGTTTTACTTTCTTTATGATGTGGTTGTTTGGTTGCAGAGAAAATGTGGGACAAAAAAATCTGTTAATGGAATATTTAGATATTTATAGGGTAAAATTTGGGATATTTTTCATGTTTTCGTTATCTGAATAACGTTAAGTGTACTACAATCATTGGTTGCTCTGGTTTTGGGACAGGTTATAGATGTTCTGCATCCTGGGAGAGCCAATGTTTCAAAGGTATATAATTTTTTTATTGTTTGAACTGGCAGTGGTCTTTGTGAGAAGTTAATTTTTTAATTTCTAACTGGTTCCATTTGTGAGTTGAAATGAAGGCTGAGTTGAAGGAGAAATTGGGTAGGATGTATGAAGTTAAAGACCCAAATTCCATATTTGCTTTCAAGTTCCGTACTCATTTTGGAGGAGGGAAATCTACTGGGTTTGGACTTATTTATGACTCAGTCGAGAGTGCAAAGAAGTATGAGCCTAAGTATCGACTAATCAGGGTAAGCTCTTTTATTTTTGCTGATGTGTTAATTGTTATTATAATTCATTGAGAAGGAATGTGAAAAAAAAGAAAAAAGAAAAAAGAAAAAAAAACCACAAAAAACAGGAGAAATGGGGAAATCTCTTCATTATGCTTATGGTTGGATCAATATAGATGCATGACTCTTAGTTCCATTTAGGGATAAAGTAGCTAGTTTGGACTTTTGACTACTGAGATGGCACAAGGAAGGCTTTGATCAGAAGGCACACATCTTTTATATATATATACAAGGATTCCTTGTAAAAATGACCATCTAATACATGTTCTGGTCTAATAATATAATGATGATGCTTTGGCTTGGTCAAATGAGTGGTATAAAGGATGTTAGAGAGAATAGTCAAATCCTTAATGAATAATAGAGAGTGATAAGCATGAAAAATGTTGTGAAGTAATCTTCTGATGCAAATTTGGGTGAAGAATCTTGCTGCAAATCTGCAATTTTGTTTTAGAACTCGAGATTTGACCAACTGTTTGTAAGAAACACAGAACATGCTACAAAGATTGTTTACCTGATTCTCACGTGAGCAATGGTAAATGATCATCACTTTCCCTCTATTCCCCACCCTCCTTCTTGTCAGGGGAACCCTTGTTACTTGCTGATCTAAATGAATGCATTGGCTGATGTGCTCTTCTCCTTATGATGATAGAATGGACTAGATACGAAGGTTGAAAAGTCCAGGAAGCAGATGAAGGAAAGGAAGAACAGGGCCAAGAAGATTCGAGGTGTAAAGAAGGTAATGGAACTAATTCTTTTAGTTGTTTGGTTCCGATTTTTTTGTCTAACATTACTTGTCATCCTTTTTTTGGCCATATACTTGACTACTTGTCCTCCATTCAAATGGCTGATTTTGCAATTGCATGCAGACCAAGGCAGGAGATGCTGCTAAGGCTGGGAAGAAAAAGTGAGGTGTTATAATATTCTGAGCTAGATTCTTGCAGAAATACAATTTTCTTTGTTAATTTTGTTAGTTTATGGAGAGACTAATGAAATGCTGTGCTTTCCTTCTCTTCTTAATATTTCACTCCTCATTTTGTATGGTATGTCACTGTCTATGCTTATGGAAAGTTTAATGTTACAAGGGATACTTTATTAGAGTAATCAAGACAAGTTTCTAGTCGATGGTTTTACTCACCTCGATGTAGTGTAAATTTCATTAAAATTTGATAATAATGCTCCCTGCAGATTACTCTCCTCATCTTCATCTTTTCAAAACCATTGTTTCCAGTGGCGGAGGGAGGGGGGGCGCTAGCCCCCCTTGAAATTTGAAAATCTTTGTAAATTAATATATGAAAAATTATCTCCCCTCTCTTGAAATTTAAAATTTTGTAAATTAGTATATAAAAAATTATCTTATACCCCCTGAAAAAAAATTCTGGCTCCGCCCTTGATTGTTTCCTCCACACCTTTATCATCTGAAAGCCTACAGCAACTACAATACTTTGTGCTGTTGATCAAATTTCCAGTGCATAAATCTTAGTCGGGACTAACCAAGTATGCATGCCCTTTTGCTACGCTACTGTTAACCCGTAGCAGAGCTGCTAGCGTTCCCCTCAACCATAATTTCTTACAGAAACATCTGAATTCCAACGATCAAGGCAATGCTTTCTGGCCAATTTTGTCTTCACTAAGCATTGGTATAACTATTAAAAAGAAGGTGAACCTCACAAGGTGAATCCGACTGCAGACCGAAGTGAAGCACTCTCGCCTTCACCATTGGTCCTGAATAATACTGAAGCATAGAATGCAATGACATTGATGTCTGTCACAAGCTGGAAATATGTAATAGCAATGCCCATTACTAGTTGAGATCTATACTTCCCCTGCAAGTTGATGGTTTCCAAGATTGAACTTGCTTTTATGAGATAAATCAAATTCTGTTTGGCCCATCCGTAGTATCTCGTACAAGCTGTGCACATCTCATGACCAAAGATAAATGAGTAAAGTTGCAAAAAAAGATACGATACTTTATAAATTTTTTTATTTAAAAATGTTGGTTTTGTCAATTTTTAAATAAAGATATTAACTTTTTACATTTTTCTATTTAAGTATGTTGATTTTCAACTTTTTCTATCAAATGATTAATTGGATAATGGAGCTAATGTGGTAAATGGATTTTTTAATTGAAATGTTGAAAGTTAACATCCTTAAACAGAATAAGTTAAAGTTGACACTCTTAAATAAAAAGTATTGAAAGTTGATATCTTTATTTAAAAATTGACAAAATTAATATTTTTATTTAAAAATTAATAAAATTAACATTCTTAAATAGAAAAAATTGTAAAGTTCACATCTTTTTTTACCTTTACTCCATCCAACAGCAGCCATCAAGCGTGACAGAAGAATGATAAAGGTAAGCCTTCCTTCCAAAGTTCCACCAGATTGCTCAATCCTCCCAATTTCGCTCACATACACAATTTTAACAGATTTATAGAGAATACAACACTTGAAAAGAGTATTGCAAAGGATGGGATTAAAATATCTCATTTTCATGTGCACTGGAGGAGTGGATGTTGACCCATCACCTGCTGCGCCCATGTTGTCCCAGAATCTTTTCAATTTGCGTGGTTTAAACTTTAAAGACTGAATGCTCCGCTTGTTCACAAAAAATAACCCATAAATGTGTGCATGAGAAAATGATTGAATGCTATTTAGAGTGATTTACCTTTCATTATTTTACTGTTTAAATTGTATCACATTGTTAAACATCAATTATTAAATAAAAAGGAGACTCTATGATGTAATGCTTGATATTCTATGGGCTCATATTCACAATTACCTTCCTTTGAAAATTCTAAAAATTTCACAAAACTGTCATTAAATACAAAAAGTATAATATCAATTTAGTCTCTTAAATTTAAGTTTTGTATAGTTTTGTTTCTTAATTTTTTCTTTTTTTT